TACACTTACATGGGGCCCCCCTAAAATAAGGAGCGCTTCTTAAGATTGACTGTGAGGTTTCCTCCGTCATGTTCAAAACTTGCTCCTGAAAAAGTCTGATTTGACTTTTGAGACTTTCTATCTCTCTATCTTTGCTATCAATCTCTTTTTCAAATGATAATTTCATCATTGATTGATTATTTCGCAATTCTAAAATTGTTTTGCATTTCTCATCTACTGTTTCTTTGACTTGATTTAGTCCACATTGTAAGGTAGCTGCTACTTCACAAAGCGTGTGACTATTAGCGCTTACAGTAGGCAAAAAGTCACGCAATTCTGCTTGTGACATTTGTATATCGTCGAAAAAGGACGTTTCTGCCGTTTGCGCAGTCAATTCTAGACGCTTTTTGACATTAACGAAGGTGCTTTGCACCGAACCCCGAACTGTGTCCAAAATATTTCGTCGTTTTTCACGCGAAAAATTTCTAATTTGGTCACTAAGAGCGTCATCTAACCGCACTAGGATATTTTTGAAAGAATTATTCAATTCTTCGAACTGACAACTTACACCAAGTGATTCCCAGTTGTTGAGCGGTTGTGGCTCGTTCGTGTTGTCCATCAATTCGTCGTGTCCGACTGCTGTGGATGTAGACATGCTATCTGCAATAGTGAACTTTAATTCCAAGTCACTGGCTTTGGCCCCCAAGTGAAGTTTAGCGATCTTGCGATTACGACAAATCGGCTAAATCAAGTATACGCTCGGATCCGAGACCTTTCGTTCAATTAATCACAATGGATCAATAACGTTTTTATCGAAATTAATAATACAAAACAAATTAATGAATCACGATCCGAAGATCGCAGAGAGAGATACAATTAAAACGTTGAGAGAAGAACCTGGTTATAAATGACCCGAGCCCTATTTATAGGAGATACGAATATGGGCGTGTCCCTGTAGTTTGACCCGCTGTCGATTGCCCAAGAGTAGAGATGTGCCCAAGGTACCGTGCAACTTTCCATCGACGCGGGGTCGATCACCCGAGGTACTAGTGCTATGCGTAATGCAAAAACAACCTATCGATGTGGGTCATTTACAACTCAACATCAGTATATTACATAACAACAACAATTAGTTATACTGTGAACATTTCTTACACTTACATGGGGCCCCCCTAAAATAAGGAGCGCTTCCACTGCGCTTATTACAAAAGGCATTACGCCCTCCTCGGCCTCGAAAATTAGGAGTAAAATCGCGATGGCTTTGATGACAGAACTGCGCGCGGGGTCCTGAAGAAAATCGGTGCTGTCCGTGGGGATTGCTATTCCTTGTTTGATGGTGTGATCCTCGTCCTCGAAAATTTCGTTGGCGTTCCTCCACATTTCTTTGCTGAAGCGGCTTGACGACGAAACTTTTCGACTGAACTGGAACACGACGTAATTCTGGTAATTGCATTATAGAGTTGTGCTCTTTCAGAGCGGCTGCCCAAAACCTTCTGGCAGCACTTTGTGTGAAGTGGCGGCCAGTTAGTGAGACTTATTTTGTCTGCCAAGTATTTTGAATGGTGCATTCCTTATGTTGTTTTCCGATCTGCCCGGGAGCAGGCACCTGATTCGCTGCTGGAGACTTGGCCTTTGTATGACTGTTTCTTCCATGAAATCTCGTAGAAGGTCTACACTTTTGCCCCAGTCCGCATCGTCCTGTGGACCTGGCAGGGCTACTAATTCCGCCCCTTTCGCAACGGCTTGCATCAGTAAGTACCACGCGTTCTTCCAACGCAGGGGTTCCTCGTAGTGAACTGTTGAAAAGAGTACGACGACTGACAGCTCTTCTTCGAACCAACTCGGGTCGACGTCGTCCAGCGTCCTGACTGATTTCGCAAACATAGTGGCTGTCTCGAAACAACTCAAAACTTCTTCGAACCCTTCCGGTAAGAGAATTAGTGAGCGACGTTGTTTAAGAAAATCCCCGCTGCTACCGTTCCAAGGGTGCGAGTTGGCGAACCGTAACGCTTCGGAGTAGATTCTCGGCAAGTTATACGGATCCGTACGACTACGAGGATAAAATCCAGGCACTGTTTTCGTGGCGTCCTCCACACTCGCTAAGGTAGAATGTATGCAACGGCTACGATAGAAAGACATCGCTAAGCCTAACGAGGATGGCGTGATTATATCATATGACGAATCTATTAACCGAGCCACGCGGAAATTGTCCGGTATATGAGTCTGCGTAACTACAGAAAACAAACGAGCAAGTTGGTACGGTGAATCAAACAAGCATGAAGGTACTACAACTCCAGGAAGGATACTTCCGAAATTCACGTTGACTGCACAGCTGACTTTTTGCCCATTAACGTCCAGGCCACCAGGACAGCTCCAGTCGACTTGTCGAACGTCGTCTCTTGCAGATAACGCGATGCTGCAATCAAAATGTTTAATTGACAATACACCGGTTTCTAGAGACCTTTTCCTTCTACCACGCTTTGCACGTGCTGTGGCCCCTACGACTACGTTGTCGCCTATTTCCTTGGGTATCTTAATTAGGTGATCGAATTGTACCCTGACCGGATCCTTATTTACACCAATTAATGTTACAAGTGCGGAATTGGCACTCGCCTCGATAACTCGAAAAGGACCGGACCAGTCCGTAACTAATTTGGGGTGCCGCGACTTACTTTTCTCAGCAGGAAGTTTCATATAGACCCTGTCTCCGGTCTTGAATGTGGTAGATTTCGCAGTTTTATACCTCCTGTCGTAGGCAAGCTTCATCTTTTCGCGATAATCTTTAGCGTTTTCATTTATGCATTCTCGTGCCAATTTCAGTCCGCAGAGCAGTTCTGTTTTATACTTATCGTAATCCACGATATAAGGTGATAGATGTTTGGAGGGAATCAACATTGAAGGATATATAGGGTCCTGCCCGTACAACAAAAAATGAGGGCTTTCTCCTGTCGCACCGTGCGGGGAAGCGTTATAAGCATATACCGCTGTGGGCAGAATTCTATCCCATTCCGCTGCTACCTCGGTCTTCTTTTTGAGCATTCTGACAATGGTGCCGTTGACCCTTTCCGTCAACCCATTCTCTCGAGGGCAGTAACCTTTTGTAAACTTTTGCTCGATTCCCATAACCTGGCAAAGAGCGGTTACAATCTCGTTTTCGAATTCACCTCCACGGTCAGAAAGAAGCATTTCGGGCCATCTTCCGGCACCACAAACCCAATTGCTAAAAATGGCTTCCGCCACCGTTTCCGCCTTTTTATCTGCTACTGGGTAGGCTCCCAAGTATTTGGTAAAGTGATCGATAATTGTCACTATATAGCGGTTTCCTCTCGTTGTTAACCCCATTTCAAGAAGGTCTACACCTACTATCTGGAGCGGTCTTGTGACTTCAATTGGGCGTAACGGTGGCACGTTTTCTGCCCTATTGTTCGTCAAAAAGCATTTTTGACAGCCATGACACCACCTAACCAAATCTTGGTACATCCCAGGCCAAAAAATATACTTTCTCATTTGCAAGAACATCTTTTTGGCATTAAAGTGACCACCGAGAATACCAGAGTGAGACTCGTCAAAAATCGCTTGCCTTTGTGAGCGCGGAACTACGGCAACTAAAGTCCCGTTTTCATTTATAAGGCTCAATTCTCCGTCCTGCAAAACAAAATCAGCTGTGCTAAGAGCTTTGCTATGCCTAGGAAGCCTCACTTCCTCAATTTCACCACTCTCGACTGACTTTATCAGTCCTTCAAAGTCAGGGTCCTGGCGCAGTTCCAAGAGCCATTCATTTTCTTGAACAGCGCAAACTACTTTTTCGTCTTCTGCGTATCCTTGCTCATTAGTTATTTGCGGCGGGAGTCCCCTGGATAGCGCGTCCGCAACCACATTTGCTGTCCCCTTCACAAATTCGATGGTCAGATCATAACGCTGAACTTCCAGTGCCCATCTCAGAACTCTAGGAGAAACATTTGTTCGTTTGAAGAGCGATGTGAGCGCTGCATGATCAGTCCTGACTATGGTACGAATCCCGTAAATAAAATAGTGGAACTTTTTCAAGCTGAAAATCAATGCCAACGCTTCCTGGTCGGTCACATGATAATTTTTCTCAGCTCCAGACAAATGTTTGGATGTGAAAAATAGCGGATGCAGCAGGCCATCATCACCTTCTTGCGCTAAAACCGCTCCTATACCTACTGTACTAGCATCCGTATAAATAACAAAGGGTCGAGATCCGTCCCTTGCTTTCTCTAGATTGGGCTGTGCTAGAACTGGGGCTTCGGTCAAAGCCTTTTTTAGCGTTTCAAAAGCTATGGTATGCTCTTCTGACCATCCAAACAGCTTTCTTGAACTTGTTAGCTCATATAAGGGCTTAGCTATTTGGGCAAAACGCAGCACGAATTTCCTGTAGTACCCTGCCATACCCAGGAATGTACGCAGCTGGGCCACATTCTGCGGACGTGCATAATTCTGGATACGAACTATCTTTTCCGGGTCAGCTCTAACTCCGTTTTCATCCACGACGTGTCCTAGGAACTCAATACTAGGCTCCATCATTCGACATTTCTGGGGTTTCACCTTTAATTGCGCTTCTCTGAAGGCTTTAAGCACCTTGCTTATGACTTCAATGTTTCTCTCTGGGGAGTCTGTAGCGATTAAAATATCGTCTATATAGACTGACACTTCTGAACCTAGCAAATCTCCTAGCACCTTGTCCATCAATCTCTGGAACTTTGCCGGTGCCGTCGTGAGTCCAAAAGGTAAAACACGAAATTGGAAATGGCCTGAGGTTGTTGTGAAGGCACTAATCTCCTTAGCTCGGTCAGTGAGCGGCACCTGCCAGTAGCCACTAGCCAGGTCCAGTGAGGTAAACCAGCGCTTCCCCTGTAAGTTTTGGAGTGTCATGTCAATAGGTGGTAAGGGATAACTATCCTTTTTCGTCGCTTTATTAACCTCCCGATAATCCACACATAACCGTATGGTTCCATCTTTCTTTGCCACTAACACGATAGGGGATGCCCATGGGGATTGACTATCCTCAATCACTCTCCTTTCCTTGAGATCCCGTAGCATCACATCCACCTTAGTTCGTAGACCGTATGGCACTGGTCTTGTTTTCTGTCGAACTGGCGAGTGATCTCCCACTTCTATATCATGGCTCACCAAATCCGTTTGTGTTAGCTCCGCATCCGAAATAGCGAATACGTCGCTGTATTCTTCAATTACTGCACGAAGTTCATCAGGCATGCTTCCAGCCCTCCGATTTCTATTCAGTGTGTCTACCAGGGCATGGATTCTTTCAGAATCTTTCAGTAAAGCAGGCTGATGGAGGACCATCATGTCACTTGGGATGTCTGCTGTCCTTGGGTCAACCCAAGTTTCCGCTGACCAACTACCAAGATCTTCGCCTCTACCTATCACCCAGGGTTCAGAGCCTTGATTTATGACTGATAGCTTGGCCTTGCCATGACTAACTTGGCATACACCCGATTCTATACGAGGATTTTTCGACCAGAACACGCATGGTCCATTTGGGAATTCGCTGCAGATTTGCACAGTAGCAACCTTGCCTGGCAGTACGACTACCCTGTTATCCGCATAGGCCGCATCGGATACTTCTGCCACCCCCATCCTATCATGGGCATTCGGTGATAACTTTATGGATATTCCCAATTCTTGTAAGGCATTCGTACCTATTAGTAAAGTATTATCCTTACTTTGTTGCACGTGCATATGAATAGAAGCTGTACCAGCTCCTTTTACCATCACTTCAGCAATTATTTCCGAAAGGAAACTCATGGCATTCCCTGATGCGTCAAAAAGTTTTCGCTGCTTGCCATCACCTACGATGCAAGCATTGGCATCAAGATCTGCGCCTTGCTCTCGCACTTGCTTGAGCAGACCTACCGGGACAATCGAAATCACCGAGCCTGTATCCACAAGCGCTTTTGCTGTAATGCCAAAAATTTTGACTTCGCAAGTACTTGGCTTACCTACAGCTCTGGGTTGGGGTTCTAATCCTTTCCCTTTTGTTTGAACAGATTTACACCACCTGTCTAGCTCCGTCACGAGGGAGCTACCTACCGCTGCGCTATTCCGCGCTCTAT